CACGTAAGAAACCCCAGAGCCTACATCCTGGTTGGAAGACCACCTCAAGTCCACCAGCAGTTTTACTAAAACACCGATTCAATTCACACCAAGCGCAGTGCCGTTCCTTCTAACCCTCCTCATGTCTCCACTTGAAAGATTGAGCAAAATAAAAAAAGCTTATGTAAAATCAAAACAAAACAAACAAAGCTGATTTGCCCTCTCTGTGCTGCATCAGCCCAGCTAAATAAACAAGAGAAGCCAAAGAGTCCTAGTTTGGTAAGTAATCGAACTACACAGCAATGGAATTCAAACTATGCAATAACAAGAAAATCAGTAAAAATGGGTGACATGACTCATACCCAGAATAGCTCCACTGATCTAAACTTAGAGTCTCCTGCTCCTCCAAAGCTTGTCCCATGCTCAGTACTGAGCAGCCAGAACATATGGATTACTGAGATCGTACCTGATCAGCTGCATAGTTAAATTTCCTCTCCACACCACTATTTGTCTTCCCTTAACTCCACCTGTACTGACTCTACTTAAGCTGTAGGTGCATTCTGAGAGATTTTGCCTCTCTGTGGGTTTAAGAAAAACAAAACAGAAAAGGTTTTTCGTGGAGACAACTTCAGTAGTCCACAGAGGTACAACAAACAACTTCCTCAAGCACAGCTAATCAAAACAGCAAAGGAAGCAGAACTAGAGTGCTTTCTGCTTCTACCCTCTGTGCCAATGATTATCCTTAAAAAATAAGCAATAAAATAAAACACACCAACTTAAGCAAAGACACTGGAAATACTGGGAAGTTCCTGACCTCAGGCTACTAAAGAGCATAAAGCCAGCCCTCAACCTATCTGCCCTAAACTGTCAGAAGAAAGGAAAGTAAGGAGAAGGATAGAAACCAAGTTTGTGCTCTGAAGTCTTCCTTTGACCAAGGCCCAAAAGATTTGAAAAGCAACTCCAAAGCACATCTTCTGCAGATGCATGAAATACACTGTTCTAAGCTGCATCTGCAACTCTGAGCACTTCCACAAAAATCACAACAGGATCATGAAAAAAAAACCAAAAAAACAACTAGCATTAGTGCTTCTTGATTAAAAAAAAAATAATCATAATTGTGCTTTAAATTGGAACTACAAGCAGCTCAGGAAATTTAATTAAATCACAAAGACATCAGTGCATTGTCAGCTTGAGATACTGTACGACAGCAACAGGGAGCTGACTGCCAGCAGAATGTTAATTTGTCTTCCCAGCCTGGATGAAATGAGTATGATACTCTTAAGAGAACTTTTAAGTGTAGAGAAGTACATTTAATTGCTAGCTATTTACAGCAAAACTATCAGGAAGCGGAAGAGAAAGTTGCAGATATCAACTTCTGAAGGTCAGCAAACTGATGGTAAAGATGAGAAGGGAAGTTGCAAAAAAAAAAAAAAAAAAAAAAAAAAAAAAAAAGGTAAGTGATAAGCTGTGTCTGGTGCTGGATGGCTCCAGTGCCCTGTGGTATTTATTATGGAGCACTTTCACTTCTACTATTACCATTTCCACATAAACTTCAGGACTTCTTGAGAAGATACTAGCTTCAATCCTCAAGCTAGGAAGAGAATATATAATTTTACAAAGCCATAAGAGATGTCACAGGAGACGTGAGATCCAGCAGACTGCTTGTTTCCTAACTCCATGCTCAGCCCATAGTACCTCTGGCTTAGTGTTGCACACTGTAAGAAATGAGGGTCAGAGAGAAACAGAGCAAAAAACGCAGATCAACCCCTTCCCAGAAGCACTCACAAGCAGATAACAGAGTAAGGAAATGTGAATTCAAGGGGAAGTATTTCATTCATTCATTCAAGACGGAGCTCAAGGTATGTCCACCTTAACGAAGCAAGGAAGAAAAAACAACTGGAAGTGAGAACATTTTTTCAAAAAACACAGCTCCATGTGGTTTTCCTGTTCATGTGGAAATAATCAAACATGGTAACAAGGCAGAAACGAAGATTAGCTACAAGAAGCTGAAGTCTTTATGCATAGCTTTCCCCTTCTCTGTTTCTGAAGGTGAGATTAGCACAAGGTGAGAAAAAAATAAGGCAGTGTCAGGAGCAGGGGGGCAGAGACTACTCTCAGCAATTCCATGCTGCACAAGGTGGTGAATCAGCACTGAGTGCCAGCAATGGGCAGCAGGCAGGGTTGCTCCAGGGACAGCCCAAGAGCCCACCCCAACACTACCAGAAGCGGACGATACGAGGACTCTCTGCATTCAGTCTTAGCATCTCACCACCCCGTATGTCCTCACACAGCTCTCAGAAAGCAAAGTTCCTGGGCAACAGGTACCGTCAAAGATCCCAGCAGCCAGCATTAAACTTACCAGGCACACAGGTCTCCTCTGGTTTTAAGCAACCCAATCAATAGGTCTTTCACTAAGTAACTGCTATACAACTGAACAACCTTCAACTTAAAAAGTTCTAGCATTAATCCCCTTTCACTGCCCTGCTACTTTTGAAAACAATAGCTCTTCTGCCCTCTGATCACTCACACTTTGATTCTGTGGCTTCCCTTGCTAGGCAAGTGCAGGATATTAACACAAGAGCACAAAAGGTAACTATTAACATGCACTATGCCCCTTATCAGCTTTCCATACCAGCACAACCTGGAAGAAAAGAAAAAAGAAAAAAAAATACCTTAATGCTATTTGTCTCAAGAGTATTAATGAATATTAACAACATCAGTGACTTTTCAAGTGTTCCAAATTCAGTTTTGTTTGCCAACCAGTGTACAGAAGATACTAAAGTCATTTTCCAACAATTTCACAAAAAAATATGATGCAAGAAAGGAGCAAGTACTCAGATCCCACCCAATGGCAGGGGGGTAGTAGTAGACTGTATTACTGTTTCTCTTCTTTACAAATGGTCGTTGCAGTTGCACAAAAGTTAAAATTACTGCATGAAAAAGCAGAAAACAAGTGACCAAGAATCCAGAGGGTCAGCTATGACTCACAAAAGGGCAAAAGAAAGAAAATTAAGGAGAAGCTGTCAGCAAAGTAAACAATCTGCCTAACTCCCCAGCAGCAATGCCTGAAGAGGCGAGTCCACATATCTGGATCCAAGCACATTCTGTGTTCCAAGCACCAGAAGAATAAACACCAAAATGCTAACAGAGTGTAACACTCATTAATGCCCACAGTGCCACAACCCAACAGGCGAGCACAAGGTGCCCAGACGTCACCTCAACCCATTTTCAGAAAACTAACCCAAACCAAAGCTGAGCAGCACTGTAACAGGCTGGCAGGGAATGTGTATCAGGAACAGCTCACGGCCAGGTCCCACTTCAGCATTCCCATCAGCAATCTGAAAGAGGATGGGAGTGGCAGCGGCTAAGATGCCAGATGACATTTGCAACGGCCACTGAACTAAGCGGGTGAGGCAGTAAACAAGGGCAGCACAGAAAAACGCAGTAGGCTCCATACAGAGCTCTGCAAATGTTTGGTGTGGAGGAGAAGCGGAGTGGCACTGAATGCTCTGCCTGAGCACAGCTGAACTCACCGAGGACTCACTCATACCTCGATAAAAGCCTGCTGCGAATCCATCTGCTACAGCAGGTTAACATTGAAGTATACACCAGGAAAAAACAGCGACCATCCCTAATGACCCTTGGGAATGAATAAGCCTTTTTTAGAGCAGAAATTGTGTTGCCCGCTTCCCGGGGGCAGCGCAAGGAGAAACTCTCAGAGAACACGGAGCACTGTGGGCAAAAGCAGGAGTCTTTTCGATAGCCGGTGAAGGACCGGGCTGCGCTCCCCCACGAGCAGAGCGGCGTCAGGGTCAGCGGCGGGGACACACGCCGGGGCCTTTCACACCAACATCACTTACAAGGCGAACGCTCCGCACCACACGGCGAAACACTGAGGAAAAGACCTAAAAACGCAGCCCCCACGGCTCGACGCCCCAACCCGCAGCCTACGCAGGGCTCCAGCACCGGCGCGGGGCTCGGGGGAGGCGCGAGGGGGCAACACGGGGGCAGCGCGCACCGGGGACGCAGCTCTTCATCCCGGCTCCGGCCGCCGGGGGCCCAGCAGCGCCGCCGCGCTCCCCCCGAGCCGCCCCTCCCGGCCCCGCGCCCCGGAAGCCGAGCGCTTCCTTCGCGCGGGCCGCGCCCGCCCGCCGCTGCCGGCACGGGGAGCTCGGCCCGAGGAAGGGCCCCGTCCGTAGGCCTCGGGCCCGGAGCTCCCTCACAAAGACTGCGGCCCCGCTCCTCCCGCCAGGCCCCCGGCCCCGCGCGGGCCGGTGCCGCAGCCTTCCGGGGCCCTGCCGCGGGGACGGCCGCGCCCGAGAGCCCACCCGGAGAGCGGCGGCACGACGCCTCGCTACAGCCGAGGCCGGGCCGGGGCGCGGGCCCGGAGCCTACCTGAGGCGGGGGGCCGGGCCGGGCGGGCGGGAGCGGCCCCCGAAGCTCGCTCGCTCGCCTCCGCCGCCGCTCCGAGCTCCGGCCAGGCCAGGCAGCCGAGCGCCGAGCCGGGGCCGAGGAGCGGCGCCGAAAGACGGCCAGGCCCGAGCAGCCGAAACTAGAGCGGCTGCAGGCAGCGCCGACCGAGCGCCGAACTCCTCCAACGGGGCCCTCCCCGTGGCCGCCAGGGGGCGGCAGAGAGGCGGGGCGGGACGGGGCGAGAGGGGCCGCCCTCGACGGGGCCCCGCGGCCGTGGCTGCGCGTTCCCTCTCGCGGCGGGATGCTGGGGCTGCGACCGCGCGCCTTCGTCCGCATCCCGGCATCAGAAATGCGCCCCGCGCCTCACGCTTCGCACAGCTAAGCCGCGCCGGCCAGCGCTTAACGCCTCCCCCAGCCTGTCTGGAAGGAAGAAATGCCCATCTCTTCCTGCCCCTCCAGGTATGTACCAATACCGCTGCAATCCCAGCGCCTGCCGACACCGCAGCGTTCAGAGGAACCGCTGGGCCCCGAGGTGGGCACGGCTGCAGACCGGCATTAAGCAGGAATTTATACCTGCAAACTAGAAAGAAATCTCCGTGTGCCTCTCCGCTTATGAACTCAGACATGGTCCCAAAGGGAGGTTTAATGTGTGAAATGCTGTTCAAAAATCAATTGTAAGTGGTTTGGGTTACAAAGTGGCATAGAACTGTTGCTTTGTAAAATAGTGCGAGGCTTACAGATTTATCATAGTTATCACCACAGTTTTCCACGTTTCTCCACCAACCTCACATTACAGCCATTGTCCTCCAAATTAGGAGGAAGGGGTGTTTATGAGAGTCACAACAGCAATGATTCAGCAGTTAATGACACCTACAAGGAGATGAAGAGAAGTTCTGAATGCTCCCTGAAACGAATAGTTTCTTCTCGTCTCACATCCCATAGTCTTGACCGACTTAAGAGGAGGAAGCATGCTGGTCTCTGCATCTTCTCAGAGGAACAGCAAGAAGCCTTCCTGCTGCCACAATGCTAGCTAAAATGAGTGAGCAGCAGCTCCTGACGAATACGGCAGGCTTCAGAGTCCATTGACTCCATTTGCTCATACTCCTCCTCCGCCGGCTCCATGTGCCCCGCTGCAGGGGCAGACCACACGTCCAGCCCGTGCTGCAGGGAGATGTTGTGAAGCACGCAGCAGGCCAGAATGATGTGACTGGATTTCTCGGGGGAGTACTGCAGGGTGCCTTTGGAGCCATCCAGGCAGCGGAATCGTGATCGGATGGTTCTGAATGTCCGCTCGATGATGTTGTGTGTGGCAGAGTGCGCCATGTTGTAGCGGTATTCTGCAGGTGTCTCAGGGATGTGCAGGGGGGTCATCAGCCAGGTGCGGAGAAAGAAGGAGCTGTCACCTATTGGCAGGGAAAGGAAGGGGCACAAGTTACAGACCTACAGCTCACCGTCAGTTTCTGATCTTTGCCCTGGGTTTTCTTGTAGTGTAGATACAGAATAACATATTTCTCTGGCTAAATTAGAAAATGTGAAGCACTGAAAACTCCGGTTTACAAATGTGACAAGTAACAAAATAAAGATATTCTGGTTTACAAAGGGAAACCTTGGAAGAACGTGACATAGCTGTAGGAGAATCTCTTTAACACGTAATACAATGAAAGTATAACTGGACTAGGACCATAGATTTGGTGGTGGATAAAAAATTGGCTGAATGGTCATAGCCAGAGGGCTGTTGTTAATGTGTCTATGTCCAGTCACAAGTGGTGTCCCCCCACATCTTGGGACCGCTCTTCAACATCTTTATCAATCACATAGACAGTAGGATTAACTGAACCTACAGCAAGTTTGCTGATGACACCAAGCTGAGTGGTGCCATTGGCACAACAGGAGGAAGGGACGCTATTCAAAGGGACCAGGACAGGCTTGAAAAGTGGGCACATGAGAACCTAATGAGGTTTAACATGGCTAAGTGCAAGGTGTTGCACTTGGGCCGTGGCAATTCCAGATATGTGTACAGGCTGGGAGAAGAGCTCACTGAGAGCAGCCCTGCCGAGAAGGACCTGGGGGTTCATGATGGACAAAAAGCTGGATGTGAACCAGCTGTGTGCTCTTGTAGCCCAGAGAGCCAACTGTATCCTGGCCTGCATCAACAAAGGGGTGGCCAGCAGGGAGAAGGAGGTGACTGTCCCCCTCTACTGCTCTTGTGAGGCCCCATCTGGAGCACTGAATCCAAGCCTGGGGCCTTCAGCACAGGAAAGGATGCAGAGCTGTTGAAGTGGGTCCAGAAGAAGGCCATGAAAATGATCAGAGGGCTGGAGCACCTTTCCTATGGAGAAAGGCTGAGGGAGCTGGGCTTGTTTAGCTTGGAGAAGATTCCAGGGAGACCTCCAGTGCTTGAAAGGATCTTTTTAAGGAGGGAAAGAGACTTTTTACATGGTCTGACTGATAAGACAAGGAGGAATGGCTTTAAAACTAAAAGAGGGGAGATTTAGGTTAGATGTTAGGAAGAAATGTTTTATTCAGAGGGTGGGGAGGTGCTGGAACAGGCTGTCCAGAGAAGTTGTGAATACCCCATTCCTGGAGGCATTCAAGGTCAGGTGGGATGGGGCCCTGGGCAGCTTCATGTGGTGGGTGGCAACACTGCCCATGTAGGGGGTTGGAACTGAATCAGCTTTAAGTTTCTCTCCAATCTAAACCGTTCTATGTTTCTATGAATTTAAAATTGCATAATTCTGCTTAGGTAGGTATTGGATACTGAAATACGAATGAATGAAATGAATATACAATAATCAGAGTAAATAAAACAGGTTGGAAGTTACTGTTATTGATTTCCAAGATAGTCCGAACTGAATCTCAAGCCTCAAGGAATTTACAAGAAGGCAATCAGAAGCTTACTCCCAGTTCCAAGAGGCTCTGTACTCCATGAGGAGGCAAAAGAAAGCAATGACGAAGAACTGACTTACCCAACAGCCAGCCATCCTTGTGCAGCTCGGTTTCAAACTGGCTGTTAAGGGCTGCCTGCTGCAGCACGGTGCAGTCGGACATGCTGCCTGGCCAGTGCGTCTCAGCGCTTAGCAGGGCCCCCCTGGCATCGCACACCATCAGGCAGTTGAGGGAGTGGAGGCCCTTCCGGTTCACGTAGGACAGGTCCTCGGCGTTGGGTGCTTTGATCGCCACGTGGGTGCAATCCACCACGCCCAGCACACCCGGCATGCCCGCCAGCGCATAGAAGTCGTCCTTCAGGCTCCGCACCGCTGCTTCGTCCTCTGGAAAGTGAATGAACCGGGGAGCTCTTTCCACCAGCGCCTCAGTGACGTTGGCAACACAGCGGCTCATGGAGGCTTGGCTGATGCCAATAGCATCCCCCATGCGCGTCTGGAAGGAGCCAGAGGTGTAGAAGCCCAAGGCGGCCAGCACCTGGGTCTCGGGGCTGATGGCTCGGGAGCGCTGCGTAGGGCGGGACAGGCTGGCTCCCAGCAGGTCCACCAGGTAGCAGATGAACTGCCGGGGGAAGCCGTATGTGGACACCAGATATTCATCCGTGACGTCCTCCAGCTTGAAGCGGTCCAGCGTGCGTTGCCCGCGGCCGTACAGCAGGAGGTCGCAGTCCAGCACCGCGATGGGTACGGCCATGCCGGCGGGCCGAGGGCTCCAGGGGGCCGCGTCACTCCGCCCGTCTCAGCGCCTGCACCTGCATGAGGCAAACGGGAAGGAGGCTCAGCGCAGCTTTTAAGGACCAGCCTTGCGGACTCCGTTCCCATTTTCCTTTTATTCGGGTTACGCGGAGACGAAATAAAGATTCCCGGCTTTCTAGAAGCCCCGGGAACCCCCAGAAGAACCCAGTCCTTACCGGCCTGGGGCGGCTCTCGGCCGCCGGGAAGCCCGAGGCGGCGCAGGGCCCGGCCCACAGGCGCCGCCGCCCCCCGGAGCTGAGGAGCGGATCCCGCCCGGCAGATTCGCCGCGCCGCGGCCTCCCGCGATCGGGGCGGCGCGCCGCCCGCCGCACCCGGCCGCGCCTCCCGCCTCCCGCGGGGCCGGGCCGCCGAGGGCCGCGTGTGGAAAGTGCGGCGGCGGACGCTCAGGCGCCTCCTCCCTCCCTTCCTTCGTCCGCCCGTCCCTCCCTCTCTCCGCCCGCAGCGGATGAAAACAAACAGCGGCCGCGATGGTGACGACGGCGGCGCTGCGCGGGCCGCGGCTGTGAGGCGGGGCAGCCCGAGCGCCGGGACCGAGTGGGAGGCGGCCGCGGGGCGCTGAGAGGACGCCGAGCGCGGCGGGGGAGCGGGGCCCCGCGGTGCGGGCAGCCGGGCCTGGGCGCGGGATGAGCCACCCCGCCGCCAGCACTGCCGCCCCCGCGCAGGTACCGGCCCGGGGCGGAGGGGCGGGGGGCAGGGGGCCGTCGCGCTGCGGCTTCGGGGATCGCGGCGGCGGCGGGCCGGGCCCGGCCGGGCCTGGCTGTGCGTGCGGCCTGCAGCTGCCCTGGAGCACCGAGGAGAGCGGCCTGCGGGCGGCCCGGCTCCCTCCGCCCGCTGCGCCCTCAACGCTGCCCGTTTCCCGTGCGGTGTGAGGATGTTTCGGGGCGGGGGGGGCTCACGAGCGGCCGCATCCTTCGTCCCTCTCTGAATACGGACTGCTGCCCCGCTGAGCTGCGGTTGGCCACGCAAACGAAGTATCTGGGGCAAATCCAGATGTTTGCAGGAGTGACGTGAGGTGGTGAAACCGACCTGTTTGCGGAGAGGGATGAGGCATTGCGCTCAGGATAAGACGTTGCAGTCAGCCGGAAGTCCGGGAGGATCAGGCAGGGTCCCCTGGATTTCTTTGGGGTTACATCAGCACAACTTTCCCGACACCAACCGTGTGTGCACATCGAGCTGAGACGTGACGATGGTGCTGTGGTTCGGGACATGCAGCTGCACACTGTGTTCCAGCCCATGCACTTTGGCCTGACTCGCAGTGCCAGGATAGAAGTTTGTGCTGACACATCTGTACAGCTCAGGGAAGTACAGAATGTAACTGCCGGTCAACAGGAATTACTCTGTTTCGTTTCTAAGCAGGCGGAGCTGGCAGGGCTGGCTTTAGTAAGGCACTTCCTAAACTGGGAAGTCGTTTATCAGTTACAAAGTTCTGATAAGCAGGAAAAAAATGAGTCTTTAATAGTCAAAACTTAACCATACGGTGAACTACAGAGCCTTTGATTTCGTCAGAATGTTTGTATCATATGAATCAATTTTCCTCCTAGAATCTGCTTGTCTATGTTTTTTTTTAACTCCTAGACTTTCAGGAATGAGTGTGGCACACCTTAAGTTAGCACTGTTCCCTTCTCCCTCTCTGCCTTCTCACTAGGTTTTCAGCAAACCTGCTATGAGGGGGAAATGGAGATTAACTTTCAGTCTGTGTAGAGCCTGACTCACAGGCCTGGCCTTGGAGCTGATGTCTCCATCGTGAGCTTTTTATAGTTGCTTATTAATGCGCTGAAAATACCTGCTTGCACTGGCACTTCTTGATCATTGAAGGAGATCTTCTAGGAAAGTTCCCTTGGCAGCCAACCCTATTTATCAGACAATCTATTAAAATCTTCCAAAACTTTCATGGTCATTTTACCTGAAAGATTCAACAAGAATTCTCTGGAGCTTCACACAGGACACACTCAGATGTTGGATTTGGGTCCTGTGTTTACAAAATAGTTCTGAAAAAAACAGTGGGAGTAGGGAACCCAGTGCAGGGGCATGGTCAGACAATGGGAAAATGAGAACTGGACTGAGAGCAGCCCACTTTAGAAACGGTCAGAGCTCTTGGTCAGGGCCCCATGCTCTTTTCAATGTCAGTGTGGCACTGTGGGACAGAAACACTTGAACAACTATTTAGCCTGGATAAATAAAGGAAAGCATTATGAGTTGAAGTTGTAGCAGCCATAATGCAAAGTGAAATCTCAGTGGAGAGGCGTAATGGAAGCAGCCTGTATATGCTTTTCCCAGCATTAATGCCCACTGTGTGTCAGGTGTTTCGGCTCCTTTCTCATTTGTGTGTCAAACACTCGTACGCACTGAATTCCCAGGCACAAAGCTGTACGGTAATGCAGGTGCTCACAAGCTGTGCACCTGTTCCATGGCACGGCTACAAGTGCCTGCATGCAGCAGGCTGCTGGCAGTGGGCACAGCATGCTGGGAGCTGTCCTCAGGGCTGAAGGGGATGGCTCTTGCAGGCTGTTGCATCATGCAGATGAGGTGCCATCACCTCATGTTCACGTGCCTTTCTCCTTGCTGAAGGAGACTGCAACTGCCAGTGGAGTGTGTAAGGCACAATGTTTAGATATCTGACTGCTGGGTAGAGCTCGTATTTTTCACTGCCTCACAGCATTGTAAGAAAGAATGAGGCTTTAGCTAAAAAAGCCCCGTGTAGCATTTGTCCTTTGAATGTTTTTCTTGGACTTTTCTGTTTAGAGGAAAGTAGAGACAAAGGAATGAATAAATAGGGCATGGAAGTGGAGGCTGCAGAAAGGCAGCAAGAAAGCCAAAAGCTGTGTGGCTGTGATGTTTGGTTTACCTGCGAGCATCCTGTGTACAAGGTTCAAGCAGCACAGTTTCTGTTTGGTTAAGAAATTCTTTGGTTGAGGAGGAATCAGTCATCCGTGCATTTTTGAGTGAGACCAAAGGTCAGCTCCTTCTGCTTGTTATTCCATGTAAAATTCGATCACGTTCCCCCAGTGTGGAGCATTGCTTGAATGACTGGCACTTAGCAAGGACCCTGCTGGCATCACAACCTACAGGACTGAAGAGTTGGATGAGTTTGGTCAAAACAAGTTTGACAAGTTTCCTTCACATTCAGGTCAGGCCTTAGCAGCTAACCTGAGGCAACCAAGGCATTTTTGTAAACGAAATGTTTGCTGTGGTTCTAGTTCTGATTCTTCCAAGAGTGATCCCAAAGGTGAGCGCTGTCCTAAGCCCCAGCACGTCACACATAACCATCAGAGGATCCCTGCAAAAACGAGGGGGTGCTGTCTGCCCAATGCCAGGTCTTGGGTGTGCCAGGGGCTGAGTTCCAAGGTGATCATTGTCCCTGAAATTACAGCTCCCTGACATGAAATCCTGCCCAATGCTTGCTACTGTGCATTAGGCTCTAGTGAGTCAGCTGTTACGGCATTGGGAGCTTGAGGTGAGGGTATGAGCCTCCAAATGTTTTGTGGATGTTATAGAAAGCTTGGGATCTTGCAAAAGGAATCGTGATTCAGGTGGAGCAGGGCACAACTGTAAAGCTCTCATCTTCTGAACCCTGCATCTGAGGTGTGTCTCTGAGGGCTGCTTTTCTCCCCTCTGGAGTTATTTGGGTACAACGCTGTTAGAACTGATTCATTACAGTGCACAGAGAACTGTGCTGATGCTTTGTTTCCTTTCTTAACAGACCAGAGAGCCAAACATCTTTCATTAGTTTTCTAATATCTTGCAAGTCAATATCCAGATTTTTTTTCCAGTCCCATGAAGAAACCATAGGTGCTATATTTGACAGCTCTTCTGCGCCATAAGGATAGAGCACTTCCTTGCAGCTTTCTCCAAGGGTTATAAATAAATCCTCTCTCTCTTCTCTTCTCATTAAAAGCTAATCTGTTTGCTCTTGGATGTTAATTTCAGTATTCCCTTTGCCGAGAAAAAGATGCACTTTTTAATGCAGTGTTTTGTTGGCCATGTGATCCAAGTTTTGCTGTGGGTCTTGGTTCCTCCTCCCTTACAGAGCTTTGCTCAGTTAAGACAAAAGAATAACTGCAGCTCACTCTTTTTTTCTTTTGTAATGGGAAGGGTTTATACAAAAAACTTAATTTTTCTACATTAGAGTGGTGCATCATGAAACATCTCCAAGAACCAGCTCCCTTTTGCATCCCTCCTGTGACTGAGAAACATGCAGTCTCTGGCTGGTGGATGTTAAACACAGGAAATGATCTGAGGAGGTTAAAATACCCAAAGGATAATCTGATAGTGCATCTACAGCTTGCGTTGTTAGATTTCACATCAAACCATGACTTATAATTAAAGCAGTAGAGTACAGGAGGTGCAGGATGAATGTAGCTCTGGAACTTTCCACCAGTGTAAGTGCCCAGCCTTCTTAGAGTCATTCAGAAAGCAGCACTCTAGAAGATGCTCTGGAAGTTGCGGTACTCTTATGTAGCAGCATGACTTAAAAGAGACATTTACTTCTGTTGATCGGGCTGTTCTGAACAGAAGCTGTGGATGTGCAGAGTCATTAATGATTGTCTGATGTTCTGTGGATGTCTGGGATGACTGACCCCCCTCAGGGCTGCAGTTCTGCCCCTGAGTGAAGGTTGAGCACTGAGTGCTCCTGCTTGCTGAGAACTGCAGCACTGCTGTGAGGGGCTGCACGCTCCACTCATGTGATGTCTGACGAGCTGCTTCGGGGTGATTAACCATCTCAGAACAAAACCAGCAGCAGGAGTTAAGAATGAATTAATACTTTGAAGGCTTATGAGTAAAAAGCATTGGTTAAAACTGCTCATTAAGGCAGTCCTCCCCATGGTCTGTAAGTGATTATTAACCTACATGTGAAGAAACTGAAAAAAAAATTATCGTTTCTCCCAGACCATGTGATGTGATGTGGCAGAAATCTGATTAGTAACTTGGCCTGCCAGCTTCAGGCACTGTGCAAGCTCCATAGTGCTGCTAAAACCTTTCCTAGTCCTTTGACAAGCAAGCCAGTATAACTGAGGGAGGTTGGGTATTTGTCATCAGAAGCTTTTGAGAGAAGCACAAGTAGAATTGTGGTTCTTCCATTGGCAAAAATACCTTTTTTCAGTTGGTTGTAGGTGCATTTGCAGCCGTACAGATTTACTGCCACATTTACCCAGGAAAACAGTTTGCCCTGGCTTTGTCCTGTGCAGTTAACTGAGAATATATTATATCTGAAGCCCTACTGCTGTGTCTAATGGATGGCTTGGTACAGATCCCAGTGTGCTGTTGGAGTGTTTTGGTTTGTTTTTTTTTTAAATTAAGCTAGCAAAATTAGAGAAATTGTACTCTAATTGTGACCTCCCTTTGTTAGTTCTTTCTCAGTACCTTTTGCATCGACCAGACATGAGATTAAACATCACTTGTGCCCCTCAAAGCTCTTGTTAGGATTTTGATGGACCGAGGCTTTTGGTGCTTATTATTTCTCTTGAGGTGGCTTCTAATGGCAAAGTATTTTGAAATCTTAAAATCCAAACAGAAAGCTGAAGGAAGACTTCATTCTTATGCCTGCACTGTATTTCAGATTGCCATATGCAATGGACACTGATCTCAGTTCGCAGGACAGGAAGGACCTGGACAAGTTCATCAAATTTTTTGCTCTGAAGGTAATTTTTTCTCCTGCATGTAAATTTTTCTTTTTCTCTTATTTAAGGAAAAAGCCATAGGATCAGTTTGAGATATATCACACCTCTGTCAATGCTGGGCTCCCATCAACACACTTAAGCATCCCACATTTAGGTGGTAACTTCTGCTGGGCTCTAAACTTCCTTTTCAGCCTATCTACATTTTTATATTGCATTCAAAACCAGTAATACCAGAATGTTCTTTTGAACTATGCTGATATATAACTATAAGATTTGGCCTTCCTTGGTACCCATATTTGACTTGCTTGGCCTTGCTAGATGATTGTAGGTAATCTGACAGTGGATTTTTAATATACTAGAAATGTACAGATTGACTTTTGTAAGTGTCCAGGTTCAGGAAGTGGTTATGCATTTTGATTCAGTAGTACAGAAAACTGTACAACTCTTGATCAGAAAACTGAGTTAGTCATTTCATGTTATTACAAAGAAAGTTTAGCTTAAAACCATTTTCTATCTGACATATCTATCTGACCTGTTATATATAATGATTTGATTATACCTGAAAATCAGCATCGGAAACTGCTTTCCTGCATTCTGGCGATCCCTTTTATTTTTCACTTGGAATTTGTCTGTTAGCTTCTGAGCTGAGGGCTCTGCTGATCTCCTGAGCCCAGTGTGAATCGTGTCCTTTCTGTTTCAGACGG